TATAATGTAAATATATATACAGTAGTGACCAAAATTGTGGAAAACTTTTGGGAAAAGTGTACAGTAGAAATGCCACCTTTGGTTAAGTTTCCACCAATTTTTCTTCTAATTTCTTTATAACTGTAGCCTTGTTCACTTAATAATACTATTTTATATCGTTTTCTGGGCAACCAGTCAACTCTTTGCACCATTACTTTAATTTTATTACGTTTTACAAGCTCACTAAATGAAAGAAAAAAAACCCCAACCAACTTGATAGCGATCACATAACACACTGACAAATGTCCTCCTCTCAGCTTCAATACATGACATCAATAACTGAATCCTACTGTGAGCTGATTGGCTCATTGCCAAAACAAGATGACACTTGATTGGCTCTCTAAACACTCATGCTCATTGGCTACAATCAGATGAAGGAAAGCTACCTAGCTTTCGTTGAATATCTATCAACGTCATCAGGGTGTATGTTGGTCAGTGGGAGGGCCTCTTTATAGATGAAGTGATATTGACGCCACGACTCATGGATCTTGTTAGTGGGCCTGACCGGCCAATCAACTCTATAGTTGTGGCTTCTGTAATGTTGGCTGGATTACTGCTGCTTGCTTTTCCTACTCTCGAGTATTCCTTTTTTTTTCCTGCTCCCAAGGTGGATGTGTCTTTAGTCATGTTGCGATCACTTAGTCACTTAGTCATGTATGCGATCACAGATATAAGGCACCCTAAAATATCCAATGGGAAAGAACACCCCATAGGTCTGAGAGCCATAAGTGATCGCAACATGACTAAAGACACATCCACCTTGGGAGCAGGAAAAAAGGAATACTCGAGAGTAGGAAAAGCAAGCAGCAGTAATCCAGCCAACATTACAGAAGCCACAACTATAGAGTTGATTGGCCGGTCAGGCCCACTAACAAGATCCATATATTCAACGAAAGCTAGGTTTATGGACCATTTCTGGCTTTTTTGCCTTCATCAGTTAGCCATACCCTTTATGGGATTCGAACCTGGAAAGTTATACATACTAGGCAGTGATTTAGCCACTGAGCCACAGGTTCTCTTCCCCTCTTTGCCAGCAGAGTCAAGGGAGTAATTATAGGGAGTTCAGACAGATCAGTCTGATTGTGAACACCTTGACATTTTCAACTGCCATACTGCAGTTTTACTCTTTTTACAGTATCTCTTGCCTTGCCGCCCCCAACTAGGGGCATAGAGCAGGCTCAAGTCGCAACTGCGAAATATTTTTATATCCAAATTTCTTTTTTCTGACAAAGAGTAAAGAATTAAATTGGGAGACTAAGATGGACCATTTCTG